GGGTTCGTGAACCCAGAGCAAAATTTTTTATTTTTTTTAATTTTTTATTTAAGTAAACCACGTCATCAAAAAAACATCCACGTTGAATTACTAACTGGCATATATTGGCCACGTCAATTTTTGAGTGCCACGTAATACATTTTGTAACGGTACCGTGACGTCGCGTTAAAATGTTGGGTTTTTTACGGCTTTTGAAAAGTTAAGGGTGTGAATAGGGAGGAAAAATTCCGGAAGGTGTTGACCGTGAAAAACAATTAAGTGTAGGGTGCAAATAGGGGCTTTGGCCTATATAATTTTGACATAACCGACAGCCACTATTGGTTATTGATTATGCATGTATAATCGACAAAACTAGTTATTGATTGGATGTTGATTATACATATATCCAGCTTCAACTAACAAAAAAATAATCTTCTAACACAAAGCTAAGGATATTGATATTTTATGGTTGTTAGTTATTACTCCTTACCTAGGGATATTGATATTTTATGCTAAGGTTAAATATGTTCATATGTAATGCACATAATTTCTATATAAACATTTATGTGCTATTATTTAGTATATATTTTGTATATATATATAATAACTTAACTAACTATAAATGTATAGGAATGGAGTTTATATTAATAAATATATATAATATTAATTAAAATAAATCTCATATTTTGTGGTACTAAATTGTTTTGATGGTACTAAAATTTTTGTTATAAAGAATATGTGGACCAATTTTTAACCATGTCAATAGGCTATAAATAGATTAATACATAACCATTGCTGGTGTATAACCAATAGCAATGTTGTCAATTATATAGACAAAACTAATAGTTCTATTGTATTGTTGATTATACTCATATTGTCTTTACACCCAGAAAAAAGTTAAATTTTGTGGTTAATCTAATTTAAAATATAACCGACAGCCATTTTAAAATATAATCAACAAAATTTCTGTCAAATATATTTTATCTATATATCTGGACACAAAAATAGAATTAGTAAATATTTTCTCATCTTATCTTCTCCTACCTCTCCCCATCTCTTTCCTTTCCTATAGATTTTTCACCCCGTTTCCCCTCTCCCTTTGTTCTTATCTTCTTCTTCTTCTTATTCTCCCTTGCATTTATTTTTCTTTCTTCTTTCATCTTCTCCTTTTCCTTCTACGTTTCTAATTCTTGCATTGCATGT